GTGTGTGAGTGAGTGTGTGCATGGGCGTGTGTGAGAGTGTCTGTGTAAGTGAATGTGTGCGTGTGTGTGAGAGTGTGTGAGTGAGTGAGTGAGTGTCAGTAATATAGTGAAATATTATTTAAATTTAAAATAAACATTTTCAATTTGAAAATAAACGTTAATAAAAAATATTCATAAATAATATTATAATAGTATCTCAGTGATACTAAAATAACACTGAAGTAAACAAAGAAATAAAACTAAGTAAAACTAAAAACAAGCAACGTAAACATTTCTGATTGACCTTCAGAAGCTGAGGAAACATTTCAGCGGTTGATTGATGATTTAAAGGTTACATGAGCAGGTTTTGTCCATCTTAAATTCAAACGCCTTGATTATTGTAGATAAAAACAAGTCATGAATTAAGGGACACTATATTAGTGGTGTTTATGTGTGCGTGTGCCCTACCTGTGGTGCACTATGTAGGTGATGATGGAGGCAAACAGGCAGAGCAGCATGACGGCTGTGCAGGCGTACACCACCGGATGCAGGAACTCTCCCGGATATGGAGGGAACGACAGCACCTTCTTCAGATCCTGACACACACACACACACACACACACACACACACATTCCCACGACAGCACAGATGCCGAGTTACCAGGGCAACAAAGATGCCAAGTTACCACGACAGCACAGATGCTGAGTTACCAGGGCAACCCAGATGCTGAGTTACCACGACAGCACAGATGCTGAGTTACCAGGGCAACACAGATGCTGAGTTACCACGACAGCACAGATGCCAAGTTACGAGGGCAACAAAGATGCCAAGTTACCACGACAGCACAGATGCTGAGTTACCAGGGCAGCACAGATGCTGAGTTACCAGGGCAGCACAGATGCTGAGTTACCAGGGCAGCACAGATGCTGAGTTACCAGGGCAGCACAGATGCTGAGTTACCAGGGCAGCACAGATGCTGAGTTACCAGGGCAGCACAGATGCTGAGTTACCAGGGCAGCACAGATGCTGAGTTACCAGGGCAGCACAGATGCTGAGTTACCAGGGCAGCACAGATGCTGAGTTACCAGGGCAGCACAGATGCTGAGTTACCAGGGCAGCACAGATGCTGAGTTACCAGGGCAGCACAGATGCTGAGTTACCAGGGCAGCACAGATGCTGAGTTACCAGGGCAGCACAGATGCTGAGTTACCAGGGCAGCACAGATGCTGAGTTACCAGGGCAGCACAGATGCTGAGTTACCAGGGCAGCACAGATGCTGAGTTACCAGGGCAGCACAGATGCTGAGTTACCAGGGCAGCACAGATGCTGAGTTACCAGGGCAGCACAGATGCTGAGTTACCAGGGCAGCACAGATGCTGAGTTACCAGGGCAGCACAGATGCTGAGTTACCAGGGCAGCACAGATGCTGAGTTACCAGGGCAGCACAGATGCTGAGTTACCAGGGCAGCACAGATGCTGAGTTACCAGGGCAGCACAGATGCTGAGTTACCAGGGCAGCACAGATGCTGAGTTACCAGGGCAGCACAGATGCTGAGTTACCAGGGCAGCACAGATGCTGAGTTACCAGGGCAGCACAGATGCTGAGTTACCAGGGCAGCACAGATGCTGAGTTACCAGGGCAGCACAGATGCTGAGTTACCAGGGCAGCACAGATGCTGAGTTACCAGGGCAGCACAGATGCTGAGTTACCAGGGCAGCACAGATGCTGAGTTACCAGGGCAGCACAGATGCTGAGTTACCAGGGCAGCACAGATGCTGAGTTACCAGGGCAGCACAGATGCTGAGTTACCAGGGCAGCACAGATGCTGAGTTACCAGGGCAGCACAGATGCTGAGTTACCAGGGCAGCACAGATGCTGAGTTACCAGGGCAGCACAGATGCTGAGTTACCAGGGCAGCACAGATGCTGAGTTACCAGGGCAGCACAGATGCTGAGTTACCAGGGCAGCACAGATGCTGAGTTACCAGGGCAGCACAGATGCTGAGTTACCAGGGCAGCACAGATGCTGAGTTACCAGGGCAGCACAGATGCTGAGTTACCAGGGCAGCACAGATGCTGAGTTACCAGGGCAGCACAGATGCTGAGTTACCAGGGCAGCACAGATGCTGAGTTACCAGGGCAGCACAGATGCTGAGTTACCAGGGCAGCACAGATGCTGAGTTACCAGGGCAGCACAGATGCTGAGTTACCAGGGCAGCACAGATGCTGAGTTACCAGGGCAGCACAGATGCTGAGTTACCAGGGCAGCACAGATGCTGAGTTACCAGGGCAGCACAGATGCTGAGTTACCAGGGCAGCACAGATGCTGAGTTACCAGGGCAGCACAGATGCTGAGTTACCAGGGCAGCACAGATGCTGAGTTACCAGGGCAGCACAGATGCTGAGTTACCAGGGCAGCACAGATGCTGAGTTACCAGGGCAGCACAGATGCTGAGTTACCAGGGCAGCACAGATGCTGAGTTACCAGGGCAGCACAGATGCTGAGTTACCAGGGCAGCACAGATGCTGAGTTACCAGGGCAGCACAGATGCTGAGTTACCAGGGCAGCACAGATGCTGAGTTACCAGGGCAGCACAGATGCTGAGTTACCAGGGCAGCACAGATGCTGAGTTACCAGGGCAGCACAGATGCTGAGTTACCAGGGCAGCACAGATGCTGAGTTACCAGGGCAGCACAGATGCTGAGTTACCAGGGCAGCACAGATGCTGAGTTACCAGGGCAGCACAGATGCTGAGTTACCAGGGCAGCACAGATGCTGAGTTACCAGGGCAGCACAGATGCTGAGTTACCAGGGCAGCACAGATGCTGAGTTACCAGGGCAGCACAGATGCTGAGTTACCAGGGCAGCACAGATGCTGAGTTACCAGGGCAGCACAGATGCTGAGTTACCAGGGCAGCACAGATGCTGAGTTACCAGGGCAGCACAGATGCTGAGTTACCAGGGCAGCACAGATGCTGAGTTACCAGGGCAGCACAGATGCTGAGTTACCAGGGCAGCACAGATGCTGAGTTACCAGGGCAGCACAGATGCTGAGTTACCAGGGCAGCACAGATGCTGAGTTACCAGGGCAGCACAGATGCTGAGTTACCAGGGCAGCACAGATGCTGAGTTACCAGGGCAGCACAGATGCTGAGTTACCAGGGCAGCACAGATGCTGAGTTACCAGGGCAGCACAGATGCTGAGTTACCAGGGCAGCACAGATGCTGAGTTACCAGGGCAGCACAGATGCTGAGTTACCAGGGCAGCACAGATGCTGAGTTACCAGGGCAGCACAGATGCTGAGTTACCAGGGCAGCACAGATGCTGAGTTACCAGGGCAGCACAGATGCTGAGTTACCAGGGCAGCACAGATGCTGAGTTACCAGGGCAGCACAGATGCTGAGTTACCAGGGCAGCACAGATGCTGAGTTACCAGGGCAGCACAGATGCTGAGTTACCAGGGCAGCACAGATGCTGAGTTACCAGGGCAGCACAGATGCTGAGTTACCAGGGCAGCACAGATGCTGAGTTACCAGGGCAGCACAGATGCTGAGTTACCAGGGCAGCACAGATGCTGAGTTACCAGGGCAGCACAGATGCTGAGTTACCAGGGCAGCACAGATGCTGAGTTACCAGGGCAGCACAGATGCTGAGTTACCAGGGCAGCACAGATGCTGAGTTACCAGGGCAGCACAGATGCTGAGTTACCAGGGCAGCACAGATGCTGAGTTACCAGGGCAGCACAGATGCTGAGTTACCAGGGCAGCACAGATGCTGAGTTACCAGGGCAGCACAGATGCTGAGTTACCAGGGCAGCACAGATGCTGAGTTACCAGGGCAGCACAGATGCTGAGTTACCAGGGCAGCACAGATGCTGAGTTACCAGGGCAGCACAGATGCTGAGTTACCAGGGCAGCACAGATGCTGAGTTACCAGGGCAGCACAGATGCTGAGTTACCAGGGCAGCACAGATGCTGAGTTACCAGGGCAGCACAGATGCTGAGTTACCAGGGCAGCACAGATGCTGAGTTACCAGGGCAGCACAGATGCTGAGTTACCAGGGCAGCACAGATGCTGAGTTACCAGGGCAGCACAGATGCTGAGTTACCAGGGCAGCACAGATGCTGAGTTACCAGGGCAGCACAGATGCTGAGTTACCAGGGCAGCACAGATGCTGAGTTACCAGGGCAGCACAGATGCTGAGTTACCAGGGCAGCACAGATGCTGAGTTACCAGGGCAGCACAGATGCTGAGTTACCAGGGCAGCACAGATGCTGAGTTACCAGGGCAGCACAGATGCTGAGTTACCAGGGCAGCACAGATGCTGAGTTACCAGGGCAGCACAGATGCTGAGTTACCAGGGCAGCACAGATGCTGAGTTACCAGGGCAGCACAGATGCTGAGTTACCAGGGCAGCACAGATGCTGAGTTACCAGGGCAGCACAGATGCTGAGTTACCAGGGCAGCACAGATGCTGAGTTACCAGGGCAGCACAGATGCTGAGTTACCAGGGCAGCACAGATGCTGAGTTACCAGGGCAGCACAGATGCTGAGTTACCAGGGCAGCACAGATGCTGAGTTACCAGGGCAGCACAGATGCTGAGTTACCAGGGCAGCACAGATGCTGAGTTACCAGGGCAGCACAGATGCTGAGTTACCAGGGCAGCACAGATGCTGAGTTACCAGGGCAGCACAGATGCTGAGTTACCAGGGCAGCACAGATGCTGAGTTACCAGGGCAGCACAGATGCTGAGTTACCAGGGCAGCACAGATGCTGAGTTACCAGGGCAGCACAGATGCTGAGTTACCAGGGCAGCACAGATGCTGAGTTACCAGGGCAGCACAGATGCTGAGTTACCAGGGCAGCACAGATGCTGAGTTACCAGGGCAGCACAGATGCTGAGTTACCAGGGCAGCACAGATGCTGAGTTACCAGGGCAGCACAGATGCTGAGTTACCAGGGCAGCACAGATGCTGAGTTACCAGGGCAGCACAGATGCTGAGTTACCAGGGCAGCACAGATGCTGAGTTACCAGGGCAGCACAGATGCTGAGTTACCAGGGCAGCACAGATGCTGAGTTACCAGGGCAGCACAGATGCTGAGTTACCAGGGCAGCACAGATGCTGAGTTACCAGGGCAGCACAGATGCTGAGTTACCAGGGCAGCACAGATGCTGAGTTACCAGGGCAGCACAGATGCTGAGTTACCAGGGCAGCACAGATGCTGAGTTACCAGGGCAGCACAGATGCTGAGTTACCAGGGCAGCACAGATGCTGAGTTACCAGGGCAGCACAGATGCTGAGTTACCAGGGCAGCACAGATGCTGAGTTACCAGGGCAGCACAGATGCTGAGTTACCAGGGCAGCACAGATGCTGAGTTACCAGGGCAGCACAGATGCTGAGTTACCAGGGCAGCACAGATGCTGAGTTACCAGGGCAGCACAGATGCTGAGTTACCAGGGCAGCACAGATGCTGAGTTACCAGGGCAGCACAGATGCTGAGTTACCAGGGCAGCACAGATGCTGAGTTACCAGGGCAGCACAGATGCTGAGTTACCAGGGCAGCACAGATGCTGAGTTACCAGGGCAGCA